GGCTTACCACAAGGGCAGCTTTTTTTTCCTCTCATATGCCAAGGGAAAGGGAATGGATCTATTGGGGCCTTGGAATAGCTCCTACTGCTGGGACAAAACTAAGTGCACTGACACCTGCTGGCACTAGGAAGCTGACAAGACTTGACTCCTAGCACAGTACTGAGCAGGGTAACACCCAAATGGTGCATGGGATATTGCCACAATGAGTGACCACAGGGTCCATAATAAAAGGTCCAGCAGGCATCCCCAAATCCCTCCCCATTCTTTACTGACAAACAGAGGCGGTGGCTAACCCTGGGTAGTTAGGAAGCGTCTCAATGTTCCCAATTACTGACCTTACAAAAATCTTCTCCATCTCCTCTAGTCTGTACACTTCCTTCACACTGTGGGTGGGGGAGAGGAGAGAAATGTTCAGGGGTTAGATTTATCCCACCTCTCTCAACCAGGCCCTGTTGTGCGTGCTGCTACAGACCCTTACAGTGCAAAGCAGGCAGGTACAGCTACGGTTCACCCTGCTCCTCAATTTCATCCCCTGGAAGACTGCTCCTCCCAGCGCACAGGAGACTGACTCCTGCACCACTCACAGCTCGGTCCGTGTAGGCAGCATGTAGAGGCCTTGTTCTCACTGCTGCGAGAACTGCATTTTTTACCTCAGACAAACAGAAGAAATTTGTAGCGAAACCCAGGCACTTCAGTTTTACTGTGAGGTGAATTCACTCAGGTCTGCCCCAGGCAGAAGCGCAGTGCTGGTCTTGTGATAAAGCTGAAGTGCCTGGTCTTCACTGTGCATTACCCATGGGACAGCAACAGCTTATGCAGAGACAAGAAGCCCAGAGTCATCATTCTCCTGCTCTGAAATCAGCCCAAATTATTTCAAGCCACTTCCACTCCATTTACCTTGGGGATCTCCAAGGCAAAGACATCCAGAGAAACCTTTTCTACAAATGCAGCCCACTCCACACTGCCACCCCTTCAAGTCTCCCTCCTCACACAGCACTACAAGTGCCAGGCTTCCAGAGACAGAGATTTAAAGTCCCCACAGCAAAAGCCATATTACTGAGGCGGCCTCTCTACAGCCTGAGAACACTTCTCCCAGCCCAACAGCTTGCAATTCTCCCTGCCAGCATCAGGGACACCCTGGCTGAAGCCACAGGCTGTCTGCAATAGCATTAACTAAGACATGCTTGCCATCCAACACGAAGCCACTGCTCTCAGACTTCTACCCACACTCTCCCCCACCCTTGCTGACAACTCCCCCCTCACAGTGCCTGACCTCTCCCTCACTCAGATCCCTGTTCTATGTCCTCATCCTAACACATGGCACAACAAAGCCACTGAGAAACAAAACTGACGCTTAAAGTGGTGGCTCTCAAAACCTTAAATAGCTTTCCTTTTTAAGCGATTCAGAGCCAGCCAGCTAGCAGCACTGCTAGATTCAGTAGCCGCATGAGCTTACTACTATTTCCCCTCCCCCTGCTCCTTACACTCCCCTGTTGTGGCTTGTTGTCCCCCGCTCCACAGTGCAGATTCTCTCTTCCCATCTGAAGTTCAGCACAATGAGGCTCCGAACATCTGGGCCCTCCGCATACCACCCAAAGGACAGGAGGTCAATGAACAGACAAAGCTGGAGCGAGCACTATGCCAGTAATTTATCTGGGAGTGTTTTCCATCTGAATGAAAACTCAAGAATGTGTCTAAAGCCTCATCCTCAGATTAACCCTATGGAGATCACAGGCTCCGCTGACACTCAGGAATAGTCCCTATTCAGTTTGTAGTGGTCAGCAATCAGTGTGGCTGTACCCCTCCTGCCACCTCAATGGAGACAAGGGGGGGGAAAGGACTTTGCATTTATTGAGTTAATTGAGGCTTATGCCCAATTACAAGAATGTCCTTGATATCAGCACTGGCTACTCCTGGTACGTACAAGGCAGATTTATCTGTAATCTTCAAAAAATTAATCTGAGGGTACCAAGAACAACAGTCACCCATGTCATCTCTGAAATTTAAAAGGGGACTCCTCACCACCTAGCTGATATGACACTCTATAACAGAGATTCTCCCAATTGGGGTTCTGTGACAACTTGAGAGCATCATGGGATGCCATGCAATGTTAGCACTGTTAGGTGTGCAAACATGATTCAATAGATAAACCCAGAGATTTCACGGAATCTTGAACTAGGAATCCATAATGTTAAAACCATTCTGATCTGGTGTGGTCTGAGTTCTCTGCAACAGAAGAACTGCTCCGTTAATTGTTCTGTAGTCAAAAAGAGTGCAAGCTAAGAGCTGACATTTTTGGAGGGGTGCCTCAAGTCTAAAAAGGTGAAAAACACTCATCTATAAGCTCTCACGACCTTCATCCTTCTGCAAACTGACCCCAGCAGCCCAAAAGCGAGAGGCACACTCACTCACCGAATGGGGTTCATATCTGGCCGGCTAGGTTTAGAAACAGCTTTGACAAACTTCTCTGCGAGCTGAATCCTGGAACAAAAAGAAAAAAGAAAGAGTTCTGTGGTTAGCAATGGCTCATACAGAGGAACTAGGGAGTATCCCCAGAACACAGCAGAGCACTGATGAGCCTTTTCCATACACAACACGCTGCCCTGTGCGACACTACCACCAGCCTAGCATACCCAAGAATTCGCCTTTACTCAGTGCCCGTGCTCTATATTGATCAAAGTAGCAGCTGCTGGGCTCATTCAGTAGGAGTGGCTCCCCAAAGGCTGTTTGACAAGCTTCATCCAATAATGTATATACCCCACATGCTGCTGAGCCCAAGCATTAACGGGGGAGCAGAAGTGGCCAGGATGCTAGTGAGGAAAAGACTTCTCCACTCTGCAAGTCCCAACCCTGCCCCCTCAGACTCCTGGGGATGCTGAACCTATCCTTTTTGTGGCTGACTCACGCCAGCCTTGTCTACACTTGCTTGCTTCTGCCATCAGAGCTTCTAGAGACAGAAAGGAAATGCCACCACCAAGTCACCAAAGAATAGGGGCTTTGTTTTTCTCAGCAGCTGTGCCAACAGTCTGTGAAGTGCCCCTCTGGGAAGGCACCAGCTGTTGAAGGGACCATGGCAGTCAGCAGAAGGCACAGGAGAGTCTACAAGAACCTTCTGCCAGCTACTGGACAGCAGAAATACTCTCATTCTGTTGGCAAAGTCAAGATTTCTCTGTTGCAGGGGAGCTGTGGCTGTGGACACTCAAACTGTCACCAGCAAAACTAATGCAACTGTGTAGCATAGGCAAGGCCTAAGGTGGGAATCAGGCCTTCTCTGATCCACAAAGGGAGTGGGGAAAAATAGACTGAATCACTTATGTGCCAGGCCTCAGCCTTATTCACCCACATCAGCTAGGCATCCCTGGATCCCTGTGGGCTTTGCTTTGCCATTAGCCTATTTCCTGCACTAAAAGAGTTTCAAGACAGCTCTCAGCATGTAGCTAGGTCCTAAAGCCCCACCTACCGCTGATTAAAGTGCTGCTCTCGGACATCATGGCCATTCAACACCAAGACATCCAGGATGTGGATAGCACCAATTTTTCGTTGGGCTTTCCCCTGGGGAAAGAAACACAGCAAGTTACTCTGCAGACTCTGGCTGGTAGCCTGTCTTCATTATGCACAACAGAACCATCTGCAATCTACCTTCCCCCTTGTGCCATCCCACTAACTCCAGAGGGCAAAAACCTCACCTCCTTTTACCAGGACACACACTTCTGCTGTAGGCTCCCTGCCCAGAGCGAATTCACAGGGGCTCACTCACCTATTATCTTTCATCAAAGCCATGCAAGTCAAATATACCCATTCATCTGGGAAGGGCTGGACAACTCTCTATGGAGTCCATCACCCCTGGTATAGGCCAGCTTCAGGTCACAGTGCCCACAAGAGTACTCCACTCCTGCAGCTCAGCATGCTATAGCACTGGATCTGCTCTGTCAGGCCCAGGGCAGTGAGATTCAGAGCGAACCAAGGCCACACATTACAGAGAAGCCCCAAGGCTCACCCCATGAGTCTGCTTGTACAAGGTTGCAATCACTCCCAGGGAGATCAAATATAACCTGAAGGAAATCCAGTTCATCTGCTGCTTCATCTACTGGTACTTTTTATGGCATTTAGACCAGTTTGTAGCATTACCAGAGGGGTGTCAAAGAGACAGAGCCAAACTGCAGAGGCCTATCATCAGCTGGCTGCAATGCTTGTGGGTCTTGGACTGGCCCCACGTGCCAGCCCTGGCCCCATGCACTGCACAGCAGAGCCAGTCCAGGGTGCAAGCTGTATGCAGAGCCTGCACTGTATTGACTCTGCATATTGAATCTGGAGCCAGTCCAGATCAAGCCCAGAGACCAATCCCGCACACCAGACTCAGTGTGCAGGGCCAGTCTGGCACAGGCGCCACATACTGCACATGGAGCCAATCTGTGGGCCCTATCCAGCCTGCAGTGCTGGATGAGTTTAATACCCCTGCACTATAATGCCGCACATCATCCATCCGCTCAGTTCTTATAGCACTTTTAAACTACTGGAAGTGCTACAAATGTTATGTCTGACCATATCCTTAGGGTCAATTCCTTGCTGCAATGCATTCAACATGACAAGAAGTCATCTATGGATACCACATATCACTAGGACTGAATAGGGAGAAAAGAGCTTAACCCAAAATAGCATCCCTGGGAGTCCCAAGCCAAGCCCCTGCACCATCACATTTACCATGTAATACTCGCAAGAAATGGAAGTGCTGGCAGACAATGTCCCTTATATAAGAAGGAATGGCTTCCCACCTCTCCTTTTAGCTCATGAACAATCTCCACAGAGAGCAGGGTGTCCCGTGGCAGCTCAGTTTTCAAGTCCAGCTTTGTCCAGCGGTCCGACTGGCGACCGTCCCAGGTGTAGATCTGGGACTTCTGTGGACCGAAGAGGAACGAGTCAGAGTTAAATTCATCCAGGATTGAGGAAAACTCTCTCTGCCTTAAATGAACTGTATCCCCAAAGTCCTCCCTGCTGACAGCAGTGGGCACTCTAAGTGATTTGTCAAGAAAGAAGCTTACATGTCTGGTAATAAGGCAACAGAACACTGATCCGAGCTCTATTCATTTGGCAAGGCCTCGTCACATCCTCACAAGAGGAACCAAAAGGGAGAAGATAACCTTGGGGGGTGCGGGGGAGAATCAGATGCTGAGATAGAGAATGCTGCATCCACTTCGATGCAAGGTTAAAAGCGAAGGATTATTTAGCATAGGAAGCAGAAGATTAAATAGACAGCAGAGAGAAAAAAAGGAATAGGAAATAACTAGCAGTCTTTAGTAATGTTGATGAGACTCCCTGTGTTACCAGGGCAAAAAAGAGCAGGGTGGAATTACAAAGCAACATGCTAGAAACAGATTGTAACAGCAGTGGTGGCATAATTAACCAGTGGAACTTCCTGCTGCAGGGTGCAACAGTTCTTGGCACTTACCCCCAGCCCTAGCAGGAACTTTTGTTCACTTCCAGACACCATACATCTGTAGTCGAACACGGGACGGATCTTCTCCAGAGTTTTTGAGGTGAGCAGTGTTGGTTTGTAACTGAAGACATCAATTTCTGTGCCCTTTAGTGCAAAGTCAGGAGAAAGATGAGTGACATGATACAGATGCAGCAGAACCCAGGTCATTTGCTTCTGGGTTAGTTCACACTGGATTTCTAAAGTAAGGACAAGCTTTTACCATAAAAGGTGCACCTCTCCACTCAGAGGGAGGACAGTAGCAGGTCTGCACAGCTGATCAGCACCCTTTGAAATAAAAACTGGACCCCCCCCCGTACAGCTGTTCACCGCATCACTCCCAGCTAGACTGCAAACCCCACTGTCACAGGGAAGTCAGAACCCTAGCCCTGTAAACAATCTGGGCTCTACTCTGCTATGAAAAAACACAGCATTTTGGAAGACCACATTTTCAGTTATCAATGCAAACTCCAGCAGAGCTAATAAGCAAAGATGCTTTTCTTACTAACGGGACTTAGTTTAGGTTTCGAGCACACTGAAATCAGACAGAAACCAAGTGGAAGGCCTGAGAGAAACTGGACAGCTGCAGAGGTCATGAGTTCAGCCCACAACGGCAGTCAGCTGTACCAAGCATCTATTTCCAATGGTTTGCTGCTCTCCTTTAGGGTGTGCCAAAGAAAGGGTGTAGAGGGAAAAGGAAAGCTTGGTTATAGTTATTTACATGCCTGGTGCAGAAACAGGGCTCAAAGCTGAAGACATTCCTTTAGACAGAAAGGGATTCCTTCTCTCTTCAGTCTTGCTGGATGAAGTTAGCCAAAATCACCCTCTCCTTCCCAGCTACACTAGGTGCAGCCCTCATCCCCCCCTCCCACCCCAGTCACACTACACAGGGAAGGGAATCTATGCCTCTGGGGCTCAGAAGTGGAATAAGCTTTAATGAAAACATGCTCAGAGGAAGGGAGCTGAGTCTATAAGGAACACGTGGGAACGCTCACAGCTCTGTCAAGGGGGACAGCAACAACTGGCTCCCTCACAGAGCTCAGCTTTCACTATGTACTGTCACAATTCAGCATTTCAGTGACAGGAGAGCAGCATATACCTTGGTGAGACAGGGACAGCCAAGGGCATGAAAGGACCTCAGGGCAATCCAAGCTTTGCTTTGAGCTCAGAAAAAAAAAAAAAAAGCACCATCTTCTGATATTCCTTTACCCAGCAGCAGGTTTTCTCCTGCCAAGACCCTCTTACCTTCCCAGCTCCCAGACAGTGTGGGGGCCACCCCACCGCAGGCTGCTGTTGGTCATCCAACACAATCTGTGCATTTGCTCCCATGGGAAGTAAAGGAAGCCTCTCCAGAAATGCCATCATTTCGAACCAGTCTATTTAGGACTTATCACCAAGCAAGTTCTAGACAACATATGTAACCCAGCTCCAGCTCCGATGAGCAACTTTAAGCAGTTCACCCCAGTATTTAGAACAAACTGTAATTCAGGATCTCACCTGGATGAGCTCAAAGAACTTGGACTTGGGATCAGATGATGATGGAGCAACTCGAGCCTGATCTGGGATCTAAAACAAACAAAAAAAAAAAAGGCTCGACATGAGCCTCGAAAATGAGTCTCATGCCTGTTCTGCATGGACATGTTCTCAAGGTCAGCAAGGCCTAGGCTCTGCTTCCAACAAAGACACTCTGATTCCTGATAACCAAACTCTCGGCATGCACACTGCTGATGCCCACAGCAAGGTAAAGGCAGAAAGTATATAAAACAGATTGGGCCTGATAAACGGACATAGCATGTCTTATAGGATATGATGGAGGGTTTTAAGGGGTCTAGACTGTAACTTTTCACGATCTACCATGTTTACTCGATTCCAAGACGAGGTCTCCCTGCCATTTAACATGGGGGGGGGGGGCCCTCATTTTGGAACTGAGTATGAGAAGTAGGGACCAGACTAGAGGTGGTGTGGGGGCAGGCAGTTACTGCATCTCCAGCTCTAACCTAGAGTCAGGACCAGAGCTGCAGCCGCACCCTGCCATCTCCCCACCCCTCTCCCTACCCTGCACCCTCTTTCCTCCCCCCACACTTATCAGGACCACTTTTAGAGCTGACGTATCTTTACATGCATTGCCCCAGATGTACCCAGTAATATTAACCTTGTCCTGACCCACAGGAAATGCATTAATGCTCTTGGCTGGAGTAACTCAACCTATCCCTTTCCACATTGCACTACAGTAGGAAAGCAATCCATGACCCCCTTGTTCAGCAGCATTACTCACCCCCCACAGCCGGAGGCACTCCTTCCGAATTTCAGCCTGCCGTGGCTCGAACAGGGTCCTAGACAAAGTAAAAGCCAGCAGATGACTTCCAGTAAAAGCATTAATATGCTCAGAGCTATCAGCCCCCTCAGAACAAGGCATGTCACTCCTTGGTATCAACAGACTGCTGCATTCAATGGAAAGCTGTTTTCCCCCTTCCAAATTCCTGCACTAGAACCTCAATTACCCACTTACTTCCCAACCTCTCCCTGCAGAAAGCCAGCCACAGGAGGATACTACCACCAGGCCTTCTGGGCTAAACTAGGTGTTATAAAAGCATTGTTAGGACATTAGCTTTCAAAAGTACCATGCTAATATGAACTGACTCTTT